GACATTTCTCGTTCAAGCATAGTAGAATTGTAAATGGGCCGACTCATGTCACGCTCATAACTGTGCCTGATCTACAACAGGGAACTGCTGCTTTTTCTCTCCTGACCCTTACTATTGACATTTTCCTCTACTTCTTTTGTATGTTTGTCACTCTCTTGTGACCTGCTATTTCCGGGGTGCCTTGATAGTCGAAGCAGACCTTGTGCTGTTGAAGCTAGAGAGGAGAGCAGTCTAAGTCTGATTCCCTGTAAAGACTTCTCTGTTGACACCCACCCCTTGGAGCTCATATGACCTTATGCAGTTGCGAGCACCGTAAAACCCTCTACTATAAAAAAAAATAATTTTTTTAAAAAGTCAATCAAAGAATTAAACAACTATGAAAAATCTACACTCCGTCACAACCTCCACAATAGCCCTGTATCTGCCTTGACCTCTGTCCCCATTTACCCCGCCATACATCAATCAAACTACAAACATACAGTTGAACCTGCTCTAATGGCCACCTGTCCAAGACAATCATCACCTGTACAAACATCCACTTTCCATCTTACATTTTTTAAAAATATTATGACACTGTCCATGATGTCCTCTTGTTAAAGACAACCACTTTCGCCTCAACATTCTGTCCCTGACGTTTTATGCACCCCTCATAATTTAGCAAAATTTGATGATTTTTTTCATAATTTCTGATTATTTTCCTTTATCGTTCTTTGCAAAAAATTAACAGAATCGCATAATTTCACATTTTTGGGCTCAGTTTGCATAATTTCAGAATTTGTCTTGCATAAAACGATGGGGACAGAACAATGAGTGGCCGACCATATGGTCGCTTTTAAGGACAAGCGGGCTAACCCAGATTTCGGGGGTTTCCAAAAATCTTGACCAAACCAAATGTGGGCATAGCCCTACCTATATGATGAGAAGTTTGGTTTCATTGGGGTGTATATTTGCTTGGTTATAGAGAAAACACTCCTTGCCTTTTAAAAAACTGAACAAGGGGCAAAAACTTTACCTTGAATTTTCTCAAAACAGCACTTTTCGGGATAGCCCCCTTGTGCTTAAAAGCGACCATAATATATTTATGCGGCCACTCATTGTCGGGGAGAAAAGAGGTTGTCTTTTACAGTATCAACAGTATCTTTATGAAAAACAGAGAAACTTGACAAACCCCCTTGAGTAATGACACTTTGCTGGCAAGTCCACCGACTCTCATCTGGTTCTCCTGGTCCAGCATTTCTTCTGTGGACATTCCACCTGAAAGGAATATATTCATATCAGAAAATGAAAGTTTTGGAAGAGACCATGATAAAGACGGTCTTTGTCATGCAAAAAACTGACTGGTGTTCTGGTACGTGTAAAGTTGACGCTGGTGAATAAAAAAATAAAATACCATTTTTTTTACCATGAACTCTATGTTTCGAAAATGATCTAATTTCTGACAGTACCCATAGAATGGCTATACACACATGATACCAACAACTGTCTAGGAAAGTAAAATGGCCAGTCCATAGTACGAATGACAGAAGAGGGAAGAAGAAATTTCAACTGGCTTGGTTGAAAAAGAACATCATTTATTGATTTTGCTCCGCTCTGTGAAACAACTCCCCCACTCCAGGGTTTCAGACTAGCTAGCACTCTAAGTCCAAGGGCCAGGGAGGAGTGCTTTAGCTTCAGAGAGAAAAGTTCTGAAAAGTAAGATATGACCAGAGGGTTTAACAGTAATACATGAGAGATATCACTTCACCCGGATGCGCGTATCTGGCTCACCAGCTGATCGTGGGGAAAAGCGCAGTAGACGAAACAAACTGCCTCCTTTGTTCAAGGCATTTTCGTTGATCACTGACAAGCATGACTCCAGCTAGCACGAAGTGTCAAAGGTGCTCTGCTATAAACTGAACCAATTCTAGAAACAAAAATCCAAATCTGAGTTTCTTTTGATTCCCAAAAAGATGATGAAAGGTAAATTAAATTGCCTGCTTAAGTAAGAATATATTTTGACGTAGAAAAAATTAGAAGCAAAACAATGACAATGTGAGTGTGGTCCTACCAGACTGACATACACCAACTTAGTATACTTCGACTTTGTTATATCAGCTATCAATTGCCTTTATTCCTGCCTAAATGCACAAATTGAGCTTGCATTCTACTGGTGAAAGATATGTTGCCCGCCAAAAGTTGTCTAAATAATGGGTGAGGGTGGGTGTGTGTGTGAACCCTGCGACTCTTCTGACCCGAAACTGGCGATTTTTGTAGTTTCATTTGTTAAAGTCAAGAGTAGGGGGGTTGCCCCCCTGACCTAATAAAAATATGGAGGTGGGGGTGGG